CATAACTAGGTTAAATAAAGCCTACCCTTTCCCTTGTCCTGTTATTTTTCCCTCTTTATACAGGGCTGTGAAGGGGGTCCCCATCCTGACAAAGAAGCAATCTGAGGCTGCAGTTTTGAGAATGAGCTGCCAACCCTTTTTGTAAAAAAAATTAAAACCCATACATAGAAAGATGTGATGTATAAAGTTTTTTCTTTAAGTATAATAAATTATCAAGAATAATTTACCTACATTTGATTGATTTTATTTGAAAATAGATAAATGAATACCCATACATAGAAAGATGTGATGTATAAAGTTTTTTCTTTAAGTATAATAAATTATCAAGAATGATTTACCTACATTTGATTGATTGATTTTTATTACTGTTAATACACTAGAGGTGAGGCGATATACCTTAACTTTAGTGAGTGGCCCAACCTTTCGCATATTTTTCTGTATGTGGCCCTCAGTGAAAAAAGTTTGGACACCCCTGGGTTAGAGTGTCACGGAGTGAGTAGGTGAGCAGAACCCAAATGCAGTACAAAACTTGGAGGCAGGTATAAATAACAAAATCAAGCTTTTTCTAAATATAGCTGTTAAAAAAAGACATGTAACCATGGGGAGCAGACAAGTTTAAACATAATGTAAGAAAACAGCAAAACAGAATGAAGAAGAAACCGGGGAACACGGGTAGCAAAATCAGGAGGGAAAAAGAGAATCAGACCGAGACAGGAAACCAGGAACAATGACACACCGAGCCACACCAGGGGAACATAGAGGGAAAACTGACAGAAAAGAGGACTAATCACACTGAGGAGACACAGCTGGAGAGGGAAGGCAAAAACACAGGGCAGCAGGNTTGACTGTATTGTTGTTCTTAGTTTGACCAGTAGGTGGAGCTACTCACTAGCTGCAGTCCTAATGCAGCTTCTCCACAAATTTTTTATTTGAAACTTTTTTTTGTGGAGAAGCTGCATTAGGACTGCAGCTAGTGAGTAGCTCCACCTACTGGTCAAACTAAGAACAACAATACAGTCAAGTGCAAGTTTCATGTGTGGGCCACATTCTATTCTATTTTTATAATTTGCTGCGGGCCAATAAAAAATGGATCCCGGGCCGCAGTTGGCCCGCGGGCCGTACTTTGGACACCCCTGCTCTAACCCAAGACACTACTTTGCCTCCATGCCGTAACTCCTGTCTGTTTATCCAAACCAGCGGTGTGCTGACTGACATACCTGGGGCCTCAGGACACTGACAGTGCGTGGCCCAAGATTTCTGAAGCGAGCTGAACGCCAGGGGCCTCAGTGTGCAAAGCACAAGCTGACCACTTAAGAACAGAATTAGAGATTGGGTAATCTTAGCAAAAAGACTGGAAGCAGGGGGAAACAGCTAGCCCGACTTTTTGTCTAAAATAATAATAATACAAATAAATGTAAACATTGTATCTTGTCGGTTTAATCTGCTATGACCATCGTACGCGATCAGCAAATCAGGTGTCAACCCCAATCATCAGTGTTGGACCTCATTACTGCTTTTCTGCAAATCTCTGCAGGCTCAGGTTAAACATGTGGTGAAGACTGCCCCAGTGATGGATACTCTATAGCAGCACAGTCATGTCCACGCTGTCCCAATCACGAGTTAAACTGTCAGAAAGGGGCGCGTTAAGGCGACCACCTTCATTCATTCATTCTCCCTTTGTAAAATATCTTATAATCAAACTGGTCAAGAGAAGATTAAAGCCCCCTCCCATAGTGAAAGTGATTTTACCTTGGGGACAAACAGGACCACCAGGGTGATGTAGACCGAGAACACGATGGCCAAGGAGGCAAAGGCGAAGGAGGCGTCCTGCTGAGAGGACAGGATCATGGTGACTGGAGCTGTGATCATACACAGTACCTGAGGAAACAGGACAGAAACAACACTTTAGTTATTGTGTTACAGAAAATACATCATAGTTAAGTCAACTAGTGATTGTGAGTTGCAGCCCTAGTAAAGTAAACACTAAAGGGAACAGTAGAAGAAGACAGACAGGAAGTAAACACTAACAGGAACACAGTATGGGCTCTGGCAGTGTTTAAAGACTGGTTCATGGAAAATAAAACGTTAACAGAGTTGGACAGTTACAGAAAACCTTGATCAGAGCTGCCTTCATTTTCAGTTACCCTGACTAAAGGCTCTTTCTATAATAGAAAAGCCAGATATACAGCTGACCTTCACCTTCCTATAAAGTCAAAGCTGAATAATGTTGTCATCTAGTAATTTTTCTGGATGCTTTCATATTATATTATTTTGCATCATTGTCATACAACCTCTCTATTTCTAGTATAGTATTTACTTGAAAATGTTTCATCCAAATACAGTAGTGCAGGAGTGGGTTCTACACCTGGAAATTAGTAAGCAATCTACCACTATTATCCTTAGTGGCAAAGTTAATTTTTTTTGCAACATGTTTTTTGTACGATTCGCGAATTAAGGTCTGTCCGAGCAAGATTTTCCCGTTTTGTTCTACGAAGCTCCTATGTGGCTTTTAACCAACGGTTAACACATTTCTGAATAAGACTACTATCACGCAGGACATTAACTTAGCGGTGGTGAAGTCATGTTATTTTTTTGAAGCCAAATGTAAGCTCTTTCCTACAGTGAATGCATTTATCCTTTAACAATGTTGTTAGGAGTTAATACTTGATTACCCCCCCTAACCCACAGAGCTTATGTTTGGCAGTATCAAAGTCCCCTTGTATTTAACCAACATGTTTTTACTATTATCTATCTGCATGAAGATGTCATTCACTTTTGTTTGTTGTTATAATACTACTCATTATTTACCAACAAGGCTTAATCTGACCCAGAAAGAGGATGTGAGAGGGTGGCAGGAAGAGAAGAGGAGAGACATCAGAGGGAACATGAGGGAGGTGGAGGTGAGGCTGCTGATCGATACAGATCAATAGACTTCGTTAGACACCTTAGTTTAGCTGCTATAGGCTCGGACTGTCGGGGGACACCTAGCTTCTTCCTTCCGTCTGTCTGTACCTGTGTACTCTCATGTTCCGATCAACCCAGCCTCCCCCAAATGTCTTTCTTTTGTGTCTATATTTACGCCGGGATCCTGAGTCGTGGCTGATCCTGTTGCTGTGGTCCTGAGTCCTGGATCCTCTATCCTGAGTACTGGATCTGAGTCCTGGACTTCGAGTCGTGGCTGAACCAGTCTCTGCGGTCCTGCCTGACTCTCATCATACTACTTCCCTGATGGCTCCCACAAGATTGCTGGCATCCTCGTGGATTCATCTTCCTATTATACACACATGCATTTCCAAACATTTGGTCTACCTATGTTTTAAATGTATTATCTTTTTACACACGGCATCTATTGCACGTCTGTCCGTCCTGGGAGAGGGATCCCTCCTCTGTTGCTCTCCCTGAGGTTTCTCCCATGTTCCCCTTTAAACTGTGGGTTTTTCCTTGTATGATGTGAGGGTCTAAGGACAGAGGGTCTAAGGACAGAGGGTCTAAGGACAGAGGGTGTCGTATTGTCATACTGATATTCTGTACAAACTGTGAAGTCCACTGAGACAAATGTAACATTTGTGATATTGGGCTATATAAATAAACATTGATTGACTTCGCTGAGCAAAAGCTGAAAATCCCCTCCAGACTGTCCAGTGTCGGTCTGACACCAGAGGGCGCCATGTTTCCTGCTGTGTCATCACTCACACACACAGCATCACACACACAGCAACACATAAAGATTGCCTCGGCTCACACACAAATCAGCTCACCAAAGTCGCTGTCACAAATAGCATTCTCACTTTGTGGATCTGCAGACAGTCTGCTCACACTCTGCAGCCTTCTCACAGACAACTTTGAAGAACAGACCAAAATAGCAAGTCTTAAATCAATATATTCTTTGTTTGTTGAATTTTTTGAAGAGAACGGCTACCAGCAACCACTACCGCAGCTGTAGAGATGACATTGATGAGATGGATATATCTGCCATTACTATTTGATGAAGACAGAAACAGAGAAGACATACCTATCAAACTGAAAAGGGTGAGAATAAAAACCTAAAGTCAAACCATATGAAATAAAATTGCCGTTTAGTCTGTCCATCATGCTTAAAAAAGGAACTGAAGCTAAACAAAAACTCGCATCCTTTTTCATCCTTATCCCATCATGTGTTTCCAATAAGTGAAGTCCAAGTGAAATCAGTGTCAGCTAATTCTGGAGACAGTCAACACAATCATTTAAAATCATGCTCAGAGTTATTTAAAACAACTTCTGTCCAGGGTCTAGTCCAGGGGTGTCAACTTGGCTGGACCAGTAACATCACAGCATAACAACTTATTATTAACAACAACTCCAAACGGTTCCCCTTTTTTAGAGCAAAAAAGTACATTCTGAAAATATTCACATTCAATGAAATGAACTATCTCTTTCCAAATGAAATTTATTTTACATTCATTTCCACATCTGTGTAGTCATCCTGACACCACCATACAAACTAAAGTGGGAACTATTAAGGAAGAAGGTGCCTTGCAAATATATAAATGTATATTACAAAATACATAAAAGTCATGAAGATTGCAGTTAATGTCTTCGCTGTAATTTTTACACTTTGCAAACTCATCCGTGTGGGTCGGATTGGACCCGGTTTTGGCCTATGGGCCGTATGTTTGACACCCCCTTGTCTAGTCAGTAGAAGCAAGTCAAAGTCTAAGTCAAGATCCGAGTCAGTAGAGCATTGTCAAAGTCAAAGTCTTGACTTAGTAAAGACAACCCCAAGTGAATCAAGACAGTATAAGAATCAGTTCTGAATCTTCACCAGAACTGTAGGTGCTGCAGCCTGAGGAGAGCAGCACCATCACGCAGAGTGCAGTGCTGTTTACACACAGTCGCTCACTGCATTGACCATCATTATATGGCCTTTAAACTACAGCAGCCAGAACCACTCTGACCTCCACACACATCAAACTGCTCGGTATTATTTCATATTTTGCTTTTTGATAAAGCAGTTACCAGGGCGCATCATCGCCTCCTTTCAACCTTTTTGGAGCAACGGTATCCTGTCCTTTATTTTTCACTGAACCATATGCAGTGCAAACACTATTGTGTCACAGTAATTACTAAACCATGAGACCATCTACAATAGAAGATACACAATATTTTTTATAAAATAGTGGCAGTTCATTATATTGAAATGTGTTTACCAAATTCATTTCAATCATTTTTTATTTGTATCAATATTACAGGAACTTCCTGATGTCAAATCATGCTCCACCTGTCTTAGTGGAGATGTGTGTTCTGACAGCTCCGCTCTGTGTGTGTGTGTGTGAGTGTGAGTGTGAGTGTGAGTGTGAGTGTGAGTGTGTGTGTGTGTGTGTGTGTGTGTGTGTGTGTGTGTGTGTGTGTGTGTGTGTGTGTGTGTGTGTGTGTGTGTGTTTGTCGATAATGTTGGCAGGGCACTGGTACTTGTTTCCAGAAGAGGTTATGAATGTGTGACATAAAAGCAGCTGAGTTAAGTGGGAGCACTGTACAAATGTTAAGCTCTGGGTATCGTTTGCCATGCACTCAAATAATCAACTACTCATATTTTATGGAAGACACAAATTATATCTTCCCATTGTGATTGGTTGTTTGTCATTACTTGACAAGCAGTTCGCGCTGATGTGTTACAAAAAAAGAAGTGAAACTGCTTTTATAAAAGGACGCAGTCACGCAGCCGTAGTGCCCTGGTCACACCATTGATAATATGTGCGTGTACATTGTCAACAGTGGATTCAAGCATGCAAAAAAACGCAACATTTTAACAGCCCCTTATTAGACCTGAAACTATTATTTTTCTCCTGCAAAAGTTGTGGCGGAACTCCGGCAGCACTATCAGCTCTTTCAGGGTTTAATGCTCACAATACATTCCTGGGCTCTCACGGGTCACGACATAAGATATTATTCCAGAGTGGGAGAAAAATACCTAGCGAGCATGCCTGGCCAAATGCTCCCAGTCATCCTCACCTCACGTTATCATTAACCTATGGGCTCAGAACAGTCTCATAATACACACATGCACACAGAAGGATTCACACTTGTATTTCCGGATCCACACTTGTGTTTTTCGATGCACACACAAATGTGTTAAGTTTCATATACATGTAATTAAAATCCAAATACAGAAAAAAGTTTTACATATGTATTTTTGATCCTCACATATTTGTTTCCCGTTTAAAACCTCTGCACCTGTAAACACAAACCGCTTTCTGTGCACGGATCGCTGTGCATTCGTGTGTGGGTTTTTTGGGACTCCCCTGACGGTCAGCCGATTCTTACTTGTAATGTTTTCTATCTGTAGCCAATCAGATGTCTCCTCAATTCTTAGCCAATCACATGAGCGCACGCCCACGAGGGTAGATTTCTTGCGTTCATGACGTAGCGCTTCATGTACGCATTTTGCGCAGTCCGGAGCTGACAGGTCCATGGAGCTAATCTCAGGACACCTCCACTCTCAGTACAGCGCCACTTTCCAAAAAGGAAATGCACGCAAATACAATATTTTATATTATTAAGGTACAGCGCCACTTTCCGANGGTAATAAAATAATAACTAGATATCACCAAGTTTCCTCCCCAGTTGATACCTTAAAGCAGGGGTCGGCAACTCCTGCTGGCACGCGGCACCGTAACCAGTGGCACACTAGGAATAAGTGGAATAAGTGTGCAAAATATTTAAATTGTATTTTCGGAACCTGAACGAGACCGCCGCCAGAGCGCGTCTCCCCGTTACCTGCAGAAGGAAGCCATGCACGCAACGCAGCCCCGCTCTCTTTAACTCCAGGTGACTTTCTGCCGCTTTCCTCCGTGGTGCAGTGCTGATCATTTCACCACGGAGGAAAGCACTTCACT